CAACCTACTACTACTACAGTAGTAGTACAACCTACTACTACTACAGTAGTAGTACAACCTACTACTGAACTACATCCGCCTTTCCTATACCTTTAAATATAGAAACCAAACAATATATTCCAGAAATGCTGCACGCGCTGTGTTGGAATCACAGGCTCTCAAACATTAAGGAGGAGCTTAATGATCAACTGATTCAACCTTCCAAATTTCACTATGGACCTTCCATACTTTTAGAACAACAACTTACCATTCTTTAAACTGGATCATTTCAAAGAAACCAATCTGATAAACGATTTCAACATTTTTTTTTCCCTCTAGAAAGTAGGTGATATAAGAAAGGGAAGGTTTGAGTCTATAGTTCAGGGTATAGGCTGTTAATGTGGTGAACTTTCATAGAATAAACAGCCTTGGTAGCCCGAGAGATGGTTTGTTGAAAGGTCACCTTTTCAAATCTCCTCTGCTCCATATCTGCTAACTGCTGTCTTGGTAACTTTCTGAGATGGTACTTAGAGGAAAGCCAATAGAAAATGGCCAAAGGACAGTGGAAGAGATGGAAAGGAAACCCTGCTGCTTTCAACCTGGCTTCAGGACTTTCTAAGAAAATTCCTGGTGTCATTCAGGCCCTAGCGTTGCCTCTTCTTAAAGAGGTGAATGTGGCTGATGTGCCAAGGTCAAGCCTCAGAGACAGCAAGCGTTCCATGGAGGGCCAGTCTGACTGAGGACACAGCCACGTCACACACAGCACAGGCGTGCTTAAGATCAAGCAGGAAACTATAAAGGGAATTACAATTCTCAAAACATACCTGATTGTATTTTGAGTAGTTTTTTGAAATTGTAAAATATCATGAAACATCTTCTCATTTCTGCTCCGACGATCTTCCAGGCACACAAACTGTATTTCTTAATCCACAGGAACCTCTTGATTTTGATGAAATACTTGCTCAGTTCCAGGTATACCCTCTGGAGGTCCTTCGGTAGGGGGCGATCTATCTTACTGAACTCCTTGTTCTCGTCCATGAAGCATTCTTGCGCTTGCCCCATTTGCTCAAAAAGTGCCATCCCGATGTGTTCTAGGCGCTCCCTTAAAACAGGGGAGAAGTACCTATTCTGACTGAAAATATTTAATGCCTGAATAGATGCAAGATAGAAGGCCTCCTTCAGGTCCCTTTCCACATGCTGGATGTGCTCAAGAATTTCTTTAGGAAACGCAAAATCCTGGAAATCTTTTAGACATTTTAGGGGAGATTGGGTGATACTTCCCAGAAGTCTCATACTTTTCAAGGTTGCACTATCCAGGTAAACACAGCGCAGAGACTGGATGGGCATAATGAAGAGAGCCACAAGGACCACTGGCCATAGATGCTGTGGGGCCATCTCGGCCTTGGTGCCTCAGTATTTTTTTCCAAAGTAAAAAAATCTGTAACACCCAGGATTGATCGTGATGTTTTGCCTACTCTTTCAAGGGCTTTTATACCTGTTTATCTTCAGTGGGAGGAGATTTCTCTCTTAGATTTCCCCAGTCTTTTGCCTCCAGGCATTTTTTTTTTTTTAAAGTGAGCAAAGCATTACTATAGGTTCCCAGATGACCCATCCCAGCTCTGAAGAAGGGTGGAGCTCAGTTGTAGGACGTTTGCTAAACATGTGTAAGACCCCCAAGTCCAGTTCCCAATACTGGGGGAAAAAATCACTCAGCTCATATCAAAGGCAAATTAAGTTTTTGTATTTCGATTGGGAAAAGCTAAATTATATTCTTGCTAGTGAACTAGTCATCGGAAATCACAGTCATTTGGTTAATGACTAATTCAACAAAGATAGAAATTTGTCTATAGGGTCAGGTACAAAAATATATTTTTCAGAAGGATCATTATGCCTTTTTTCTTTCTTTTTTCTTAATTGTTCTGAATCTCAAAAAGGATGATGAACTGAGTTTGTCAGCTTAGCATAGCTTTAGAAAATACAGGATGAGGTTGGCTCAGTTTTCTGTTGACGTTAGAAATTAATATTTTACAACTATCCTTTCCTTTTTTTAATATTCATCTCTGGATTGCCTTTCATATACCTGTATCTTAGCAGTCTCACGATGGGGTATGTATTTGGGAATATTTTTTCTGCTTCATTAGTTTCTCTGTTGTCATGCAATTTCTTTTTTATACAGTTTAGATACAGATTTAGATTAGATTAGATATAGTATTTTAAAACTTTCTTCATTCTCTTCCCTTCTTACTTAGTGGTTCTGGAATCTGTAAAGTATTTTGTTTGTTCTGCTTGCTTTTCACCCATAAGGCATTTGGGTAGGAGGTCACCCATTTCAGCCAGCTAGCTTATACCTAGGTTGCTATGACCATGCTCTGATGGTAGTCTGTCATCAATGGTGCTTACTTTGTTTGACCAAATAATCTTTGGATTATGGTTGAGCAAATGGATTCTTTTTTTTAGAAAAGTAAAATAGTATGACTTTAAAACACCCTAGCTTATTTTCTTATTAAAAAAAAAAGAAAGGAAATTGATGAGTTTTCTATTGAAATGGAAAGGATCTAGAGTTTCATAGCAATAGCAGATTGTGATTTAAATTCTGGTTTAAGATTTCTTCTTAATCATTTGGTTGCATCAAAACCTAATTGTGTGTGACTTCTTTAAACTGTTGGTTTTTATGGACTGGCTTTTTGAAAGCAGGAAATATTGCAGATGTTCCTCTCTGTATTCTCTATATAGAAATTCTAATTTCACAGTCTCTCTGCATTACTGATTGTCAAAAACAAAATTAGGAAAGGGGACTCTTTTATATAAGATTATACATTGATTTTAATCATTTGATTGTCATAGAGGACAAAATGGTGACACTGACCAAAACCTGCACTGTCTTTGATTCAGTAATCCTTTTCTCTCAATTTCTCCGTCCTCTTGCCTGATCTTGTAGCTTTTTACACAGAAACACATTTGTGCATATCTACAAACATCTGGGATCACACGTGCACATAGTGTCAGTAAAGTGCCAAACACCTCTGAGGGACCCTGCTTTCTTACGTAGCTCGTCTAATTTCCACCTACAACATCTGGTTTAAGCAGTCCCAAGTAGGGCTGCCTATCATTTGGGGTTTTTGCAAGGCTTTGCCTTCCTTAATTATCACTTTTTGAAGTAAATGGTTGTATAAGTGTTGGTCTCTAATTTAAAATCTTCCTCTCCAAGCACTCCAGTTCTATGGACTATGGTGCTCACATACTTCATGATATATATATATATATATATATATATATATATATATATATATATATATCGCTCATCTACTTCATGTTATGTGTATATGGTGCTCATCTAAACACTATGGTGCTCTGTGTACTTTGCACTTGTTCAGCTTGCTCGTGACACTTCAGCTGTCCTGCAGCTGCCTTGCTGCGGTAAGACATTTCTTCCCATAGGTGAAGAAGATTGTAACAGATGAGGAAGTTCTTTGTGGGTTTTTTTTTCCCTACTATGAGTGGCTTTGTTATTTTTCAGCTCTCTCTCCCCAAGTCCTCTCCCTGTTCTGTCATTCATCTTGTATCCTTATTTATCCAGAACTTCATTAGAAGGGTTTGGCTCATGTGACTTATGACCCAGGTCCTGCAGAAGGAGGAATACAGTGTACTTACTACCTGATGTCAAAGAACTTACAATTACAGGCATGTACTTGTGGGTGGACCTCATTCTCTGGGTGCTTTTAAATGTCAATCTGTGCTAATATTGATAGTGCTCATGACAAAGAGGAGAGGTGGTTGGCATGCCTCATGCCCTCCTTTCTCTGGCCATTGGGATTGCCTGATTCAGGAAATAAACCTGCTATATTTATATAGCAATATAAAAATATATTTTAGAAATATTTCAGACATGCCGGCACTAAGAAAAAACCCTTTCTTCCATTGACCTAAGATCCAAATTTAGTTTGTTCTCTCTCTTTTTTCTGGCGACCTTATAGACCAGAAGAACTTCCATTGACCTCTGAGGGAGCTCAAGGAGGCCGCTCCTTCTTCAAGAAACCTCTTCTCTGCCTTCTCTCAATCTCCTGAGAGCTGCATTTAGCTTCCTTTCTCAGTGCTGGCATCACGTATGCACAGATGCAAACAACAGTGCATGCTCCAAAGGGGACACACGTGAACACACTCACATGTAGTTGCTAATTACCCTAACAGGAAACATTATTGGGTCATCAGTCACTCGTCGCGGCCATCTGACTACACCTCAGAGTCTGAACATGGAAAAGACTATTGAGGAAACCTTGGTTTCCTATCTCTGTCCCCTCTGCCATCAGCAGGATGTGCATTGTCTTGCCAACTCTGTGCCCACGATGCCTGTCTTTATTTCCTAGCATGCCCTGAAGTAGTTTTTGTATGGAGTGTTGTTTTCACCCAAGGGAACACAATTAACAGGTGGTTATCTTGTTATCAGCTCAACTGCGTGAAGTCCCTTCGGATTATAATAAGGCTAACACTGATGAGCAAGATGTGTTTGACAAAATGGAGAAATAAGGCATTTCAGGGGAGGCAAGCTAGTTTGGGTTTACCGTAGGCCGCATGGACTGTGAAAACTTATTGCTTCCTATGAAAGGACAAGTTTCCAGTCTGGGTAACTTATTGATCATCCTTGTTACTCGGGGGCTGAGCATGAGTGTATTCCAGTTGTTTTGGAGGTAATTAAGCCTTAAGGCAGTATGCTTCCTTACACCGGGGCCTGACTGTGTACGGCGTTTATTCCAGAGCGACTCTGTGAGCTCTGCTGGATCATTCCCACTGCCTACCTTCCTCATCAGCCCCTCGCAGGAGCCTCTTGGCCCTTCCTTGATTGTGCTACTTGTCACTTGGGCCCTATGAAAGGGGTCAATGACCACTACACCAGTCACGATATTGGCACATTATAAGATTCAATCCCTTTGGAAAAAGTGAGGCCAGGAAGCACCTCTCAGCTTGGCTTCTCATCATGCTCCCCCATCCCCGGGACTTGGTAGTTATCAGTCTGCTCCATGGCCTTGGCTGTCTTTCCCCGTCTGAACACAGGTCCATAATGGCAGGTGCAGCAGCTGTTGCTTGGTTGCTGCCTTTTGAATGGCCTGCAGGAACCCCAGAAATCGAGAAATCTGGAACACCTCTGCAGGTGGGGATAGCAGACCCTCTTCTTCTTAAATCACTGAAACAGGCTTATCAAAATTGTGAGAGCATTACCACCTCATCTCTAGAACGACCTAGTGTCATCTGAAGGTAATGGTTTTAAAAGAGAGATTGAAATTTCTTCTTGAAGATGAAGCCCAGAGCAAATAGTTCAATGATGGGACATTAGGCATTGATTTTCTTTCTGTTTAGGGATAAGGAGGACGAGTCGGGTTCTCTGGGTGATTGAGGAATGAGAGATGGCACCCGAAGTGTCTGTCATTTCTATTTTTGGTGCTCTTTCTTTGAATTGCCCAAGGCGAGTTAAGTCATAGACACTGTGGTAACTCCAGCGATATCTTGGGTTCATAGTTTTTGGTTGATTCATGTCATCCTCTCCAGACTAGAAATGTGACTTGCGCAGTTTTGTAATCATGATGCCAACTGTTTGTTGACTAAGAAGGACCAATGGGTTTTCCTGTGTTGCCCAAGTCTGGTTAGACACTCACTTGTATGGGCAAAAGAAAGACCTTTCCTCCACTCCACCGAGCCTTTGTATCAGCGTTCTCGGGAGCTATTGTTGGTCACAGCATTGCTTGGAAGGCTCTTTAGACTTGTCAACACCAGTTCTCTTTTGCACCCCTGATGAAGACAATGCACCATTATAACTTCCTGCACAAGAGTGATGTTGCCAGTGACCCTTGGCAAAAAGAAATTTACAGTGGTTGAGTAAGTGTCTAAGTGAATAAATAGGCACCATTAATAAAGTTGATGTTGATTTGGGGATTGTCAGAATAGCTTCCCTCTACTTCCTCCTTGCCCTGTTGTCTTCTCTGGGGGTTCCCTGGGTGGCACCTACCAGGACAATCTTTCCCTTCCCACAATGGATCCCAGAGAAGGAGGGTTTACATCTGAGTGTGCCGGGAGTTGAGGAGAAATGCCACGGGTGAGCTGAGGAATGGGCAGGAAGATGCTTGGTCCACAGTTGAGGCACCATCGTCTCTTAATTACTATTGGCTTGCTTTTGGTCCTGCTTCTTGTCATGAATGAAGAGCAAAGAGGCTTTGTAGAAAAAGTCAAGGGCGCTTTCTGTAGCCCAGCATCATCTGATGCAAATCACAGAGCTTCTTATTCTAGTAGCAACGGTGGCACTGGGAGTAGTGTCTGGGGATAATTCGGTTCCAGCAGGAGTGGAGAAAGGGCCCTTTTCTTCCTGGCAACACTCCTGACCCGAGGTAACATGGAAGCAGACTCGTTTTTGCCGGAGAGGGTTTCCA